GTCAGTACTAGTTTTACTATCAGTTGTGGCCGCGCTCGCTGGCTCACCCAAACTCAGCCCACCTGAAAGGTCCACCGTCCGCAGCAAACAAGTCTGTACCTCAAGAGGTGAGAATCCTTTGTCTAGATCTGAAAGAAGAGGAGCTCCGGGGCAAATTAGCCGATGTGAACTATGGTGACTCTCTTCGCATTACGGTGAACCCAGTTTTGCACATCCAGCCCCTTAAACACCCCCTCCAAGGTTACTAGCACCGAACGCAGTTCAGAAGCCGGCGCTACTACAAGAGGAAGGTAAGGTAGCGTTCAGACTTCGCGACGGCAGCGCTTCGGTAGCGCGGACGCGATCGATGCGCATACTTTCGACTGCATCGATCGCGTCGAACGCGCGACCGAGCGCTGCCGTCGCGTCTGGACGCTGACTAACGCAGCTGCGCGACGACCCCCACTCTTCTGCGTTTCGAGACTAGGACACTGCTTGTCTGCGCTCTCTCAAGGCCGAGCTTTGCGCGGGCACATCCGTCACGCGGCTGCCTGACTCCCCTCAACGGCTAGAAGCTCCACGATGTCATGCACAGTGCAATCAAGACAACTAAAACTGAAAACATTAAAGCGAATCAACTCAAATGGTGGGGAAAAGCAAAGGAAAAGTGACGTTGTAGAAAGCAAGTATGCCTTGCTTTGAGCAATGCAAGCAAATTAGGAAATGTAGCAAGTAGTAAAACTTGGCAACTAAAACTAACAATAAGTAAATGTGGCACCAGGGGCGACGGCAACACGCAACAGTACGTGTTTCTCTGCTCGTCTGCACCCTCCCAGCGAGGCAGTGCTCCCTTCCATGGGTTAGTCTTGGCAGAGCGCAGACCAGCAAGGTGCCACCGTCATTTTCCTCGCACCAGAAAATAATATCACAACCGGAAAAGAATGAAATGCGTCACATAATTGGTCGATTGGGGGGTGACTTCAACATCACCTTCGTCTTACTGGCATAAAAGTACAAAGGGAAATAAATCAGCAGATGTAAGTTAACAAGCTACAGGTTAGCACAGCTGAAGAAAATATGAAGAACAACGATGCTGAACGGTGGTGAGCAAGAAAATTTTCGAGAAAATGAAACGTATGACTTGAGGAAATTAAAGAAAACCTTCAGGAATACATCGTGGAGTTAACACGTAGTAGACGAGCTACTAACTCGTGCCATAAACGACACAACCATCGTAGATCACGCTATTAGTAGGAGAAGTTTAGAACACAGCGGCTAGGGTGACTTGAAAGACAATGGTTATCAGGTACTCGTTGTTTCCGTTGAACCATAACCCGGAGGCGGTGGCATTGCAATCACAGCTGGCTGAAATAGAATCTTTTTCGGTAACTGGGAAATTATTATCCGATAAAACCTTACTAATACTAGTTAAGTACTAATTTCACTATGAAAGACTTATTTATACTAATTAAATACTAATTTCGCTATGTAAGAGCTTCCATATTCGGTCTCTTACCCAGTAGCATATAAACGATACTAATTTCACTTTTCTTTTTTAGTACTAATCTTAATATTGAAGGCATTGACGACGCCTACTGTATTTATTGAAGAGTAGGTACGTCCTGCCGTTAGGAAAAATTTTAATACAAAAATACGAAACTCCTTATTCGAAATTTTCTCCTATATTACGACCCCGCTTACCACCCCATACTATTTACCATTTTCCTAAACTTGAACTTTTCCAGCATCCTACCACTTTTATAAATTATTTTTTCGTTTATTTTTCCAAAAAAAACTGACGTCGAGCGGAGGGGGGAATCGGCAGTACACGTGGGACGGGAAAAATTAAGAAAGTCAACAACC